GAGAGGGGCCTTACTGGTGACAGTACTGTCAAAACTGAGCCCAAGAGATGAAGAGGAGTTACCAAGATGAAGAATATTCCAGGATAGGAAACATTAGTGCAAAGCCCAGGCAGCAAAATACAGCATGGCACATTCGAGGGATTCTAAGTGGGTTGTGGAGAGTGAGAAAGACTGAGGGTGTTGGTGACAGCTGAGCCTACAGTGCCACATTCAGCAGCAAACAGATCATGAAGGGCGTTTAAGGCACAGCAATAAGAGTCACCTTTATTTACCATGAGGTTAGGGAACTGAAGAATGGTGCCACAATCACATGTTTCTTAGGAAAACCGCTCTGCTGCCAGTGCTAAGAGGGGGCCATCGAAGAGCAACACTTGAGGCTGGGCACACTATCGTGTCCAGGGGGAAGATACTGCTCAGGAACCTACCAGAGGGGTGAGGGCAGCACAGCTAGGGAAGGGGGCTGAGTGGGGAAGGGGACAGATTTCAGAAACACGGAAGAAAAAAGGGAATTAGTGTGCTATTGGATGTGAAGGGCCAAAGAACAGATAGAGATTTCTGCCTTGGGGAACTTGGGGTGTGTAGCTCCCACTGAGATAAGGAACCCAAGATGACAATCAGACTTAGAAATAAATGTCGTGAGTTGACTCTTAACAATCGCAGAATTCCCTTAGTTTTGCCTCTTCTCCCCCATCCAAGACCTCCTGGCCTATCAATTAAATCCTACAAAACGAGAAGCTGGGTTCTACCCTGGCACTGTTTCTTGTCTTAGAGCCCCGTGGGCTAACCCAGCCCTGGGCCCACCGAGGGGTCTGAACCTAGGTCAGAGCCCCTCCCAGTTACCTGGAGCTCAGGGTAGCTGAGCACCACCAGGGAGGCACAGGCGCTGCCACTGTCCCCTTTCACGAAGGACACGTCAACGCCCCCGACCCTGTGTAAGCCCGAGAAGGCGGGGTCCCGCTGCCACGCCTCGGTGTTCCGGACTACGACGCGGGCCTTCAGCCGGGCTTGCTCCCTAGAAGGACAGACATCAAACCGGACCCAGGGCCCCGCCGAGGGCTCCCCCGCCCCACCCCATCGGCCCCAGTGTCCTCCGGTCCTGAGAGAGCCAGTCCCCGCCGGTCTTATCTCCTCTCACTCAGGAAAGGACAGGAGACAGGCGGGCTGAGGCTTCCCTGGCCCTCCCGCCCGTTCCGACTCCGCCGCCGGCGGGTTGCTGGGCCGAGGGTAGGCGAGGACCGCGTGGCCTCAGCACATGGCTCCTGCGCGTTACCCATTACCGTGTCCAGAGCGCCAGGGTTTCCTTCAGAGGCCTCCCCTCCACCTCCTGGGCCATGGCCCCGCCGCGCGATCCCTTCCGGTAACGTCACTTCCGGCAACGTCACTTCCGGAGGCACCTTGCACACGCGCCGCCCGCCCCCGTTGCCATGGAGGAGCTGTGGTCGCCGCCGGAGGCCGCTTCCCGGGCCCAGGCTGACAGCGGTGTTCCTCAGACACTCGTTGCCGCCTCACGGGAGGCTCTTCGTGGCCACACACGCACGCGTCCAGTCTCAAGTTGCCCCTGCTAGCGACAGCTGGAGCCCATGTGAGTGACCGGCGCGAGGAGCCCTCGGCCGCCGAGTGCCGCCGTGTCCCTTCGGGTCCGGTCCCAGCGTGCAGCGCCGCGGTCTGCGCGGGCCCGACGGCCACTCGTCCTGCTGAGAGCAGTGGGGCGCGGCAGCCCGGGCCTTGGGGGCAGGGGGGCCCAGCTCGGTCCCTTCCCCACTCCGCGGGCACGGTCGAGGCTCCTTGGAGCATCTCGGATTGGTTCCCCAGGTCCACGCCTGCCCAGCGGTCGCCTCGCGAGCGCGTGCTGAGCGCCCGCCGACCTCGGCCGCGAGAGGAGAGGGCGCGAGGGCAACTCTCGCGGCTCACCGGGGTGCTGAGAAGTTTGGATTTCACCTGAGAAAGCCTCACCCACCACACGGAACACAGACACCCTTTGGAGCGTTATTTTTACTTCCTGCATGGGCCTGGATTTAGCGAGTATCTACTCAGTGCGTGGTGCCAGGCGCCGTGCTAGCGGCTGGGGTCACAGCTTCCTCGCTGCGCTTTCTGTCTTGTCAGGGACAGGAAGGCATGTGGACACGTACTGGAACTGGGACTGGTGCTGTGGGTGCAATCAATGTGTAAATAATAAATACGGGGAGCGGGTGGTTAGGAAAGGCCTGAGCAGCTGATACTGAAGAGCAGACCTGCAGGGAGTAGGAGAGAGCAAGCTGCCACGCACAGAGCGCCCCTAGGTGGGAAAGACGGTGTATTTGAGGCGCCAAAGGGCAGCCAGTAAGGCTGAAGTGTAGCAGTTGCACCCGTGGTTTATATTCTAGGAGAATCAGAAAAAAAGCGTACATCTAAGTCATGGAACCTTAATATAGGTTTCAAGAGGAAATACAGAAGACTAGATTAAACTAGACTCTGGTGAGAGTTTGAGGTTCAGGAAAGGCATCGGCAAGGCCATGAAAGCTGAGTTTTCAGCTGGGGGAGAGAAGAAGCACCATTTCTGGAGCAGGCCTGTGCTCCAGTTACTTGCACGATCCCTCTTTCTCACCACGGCACAGTGAGGCATTTTACCTGTGAGAACGAGCTCAGTAGCTTGCCCAAGGTCACAGAGCTGGTAAATGAGAAAGCCGGCACTCAAACTCAGATGCCTCTGGGCTGGGCTGTGTCAGCTTTGTTGTGTTCTAGAGCATGTCCCTGGATTTGGTAATTGGGAGCCAGTCACAGGCTTGTGGGGTGGGGCAAAGGTAGTAGGTTCTGAGGGGATTCAAGGGTAGAGATGGGGTAACAGTCTGCAAAGAGAGGACAGTTTTATTAGGGAGAAAACAGAAGAGCGGAATTGGATCAAGAGCTAGCTCCTTGTCATGTAGCTCCAAGAGGCTTTTATTAACCTTATCAGTATGGTTAGAACGAGGGAGGGGGTTGCTAGGGGACTCATTCTTTTCTGCAGAGGGACTACTTTTTGCACCAGGGGCTAATGTTGGAATCACTCCCTTGACTGGCTGCCAGCTGGGATGGAAAGTTACTACTGTTCTATTGTTTCCCAGGAACACTGGCCTGCGGGACATTCTGCTATAATCTGCAGTTTGGTTTCTGGCCTGTTTTAACTAGCTGCTCTCCTGTACTCTTGTCAGGGTCATGAGGATTCCTTCCCTACAGGTTCTGAGGAAGTAGCTTTCTTCTGGTTGAGGTTCTGTTGCACTTCAGGGGACACACAATGGTGATTAGGAAGGATACTAGGGAAGAACACTCTGAGCAAGTGTAGGTGTGCAGGGAAAGGCTGCAGGGTCGCAGGTGAGTTTTTATGGGCCATGAAGCACCAGGCAAGAGCAGCCTGGACCTGGCCTGGAGGTGCCCCACTAAGGGCTCTCCCAGCCTCCAGTTTCACTCTACACTTCCCTGGTGCTTGTTTTTTTCCCAGTTGGAAATGGGATTCACAGTGCTGGAGCATATGCTTGATTAATGAGTGTGAGTGGTTAGAAAGTACAGAATGCATATAAATGCTAACCACGAATTGATTGTTATCCTGCTCACGGCCTCAGGCTTTCTCCATCCACCTCCCTGGTTGGTAAGCAGCCTTAGCAGTGAGCCATTGAATCAGGACTTTCTCTTCTGACACTCTGGTGGGAGTACACTTGGGTATCTTTGCTTGGTTGCCCTTGATGTTTATCACCAGAGGTTTGTTTTTAACTTGGAATTGCTTGAACACATGGGAATAACTGAAATAGCTCATGTTTGTCTCAGTTAACAAAAGACAAAAAATCTCATTGAGGCAAGAAAGTAAAAGCAGAACTAAAATCTGTCCTAGCTGCCCTGTGTAGGCCTCAGGCAAGCCGCGGGGTTTCTGTTGTCTGTATGTTTCTTCCTTGACATACGCAGGGCCTAGATTGTAACCTAGTAACTTCCCTGGACTTCCGTCGCCTTTGAGGGCAGGTGGTCTGACCGGCAAGGACGTGGGCGAATCTGACCTTCCCCCTTGAGCCTGGGACTTTGAGGATGATGTCATGTCTCTCTCTGTTTTATGACCCTCATGTGCACTCTTGCCCTGAAAAGTAGATAAAAGAGAGGCAAGAGACGGGAGGGGGGGGGAATAGGACTCGGTTTTTGAGACATACTGGTGTTCCGAGTTACTGCCCCAGCCGGAATAAACCCGCTTCCTCTAATCAACTGGTGCCTGGAGTCTTCTGTCTGCCTCGGTTTCCTGCTACATCATAACCATTAACGAAAGGTAAATAATTTGTACACACAATAGAGTCTTCAAGGGGACAATGATCAGTTGTGAAGACTTTGAGGTAAGTCACCACTAGCATAGCACTGAAAGGAAAAAGAAGTGCCAGAGGGAAATGTCTAGGCAGTGGGTGTGAGTGGGAGCTGGGAGGGTTGCAGATGAGGCAGCTAAGTTGACTAAATGCACGTGGATAGTGTGCAACAAATGACTGGCTGGGGTCTGGAACAGAAACCATGGGGTGAGGAGGCATTTGGTGGCAGGGCAGACAGAGCTCATCTCCCTGCTGCATTTCTAGGCCACAGGTTTCTCTCCTGGAGAATCTTTCCTTTTTGGAAAAGACAGTGCAGTTTTCCACCTATACTGGCATTTTTACCACCCAGACACAAGTAGTGAGCCTTCTAGTAGCCCACTGCTCTCACTAGCTTTGTTTTCTGTTACAAGGAGTCTCTGCCACCCACAGCCCACCGCACTGACAGCTCTCAGCCTGGAAGGATGTGCTCCTTGGCTTTTAAGGCTGAGATTGGCCATGAGGAGTGATGCTAAACCCCACGTGGACTCAGACTCTCCTGTCCTTTTGTCTAGAGGAAAAGTTTACCACTTCACTCTAAACCAGAACATACCAAATCATAGACACTTTGGCAAGAACATTTCCACCAAAATCTGAAACCATCCAAAAGCCTAGTTGATGTCCATGTGCCACGAGTAGGAACTCTGCCTCCAAAGAGAAGGATTTCTCAGTAAAACTCAAGTTTATTAAAACAGACATGACAAGTACAATAAAATTTACTTTTGCCTGTGCTAGGCAAGTGTATTTTTCTACAAACAACATAATGCTAGCTATGACAGTTAAGGCTTTGAAGTGTAACATACAAAATGAAACATCTTAATTGAAAACCCTTAAGTAAGAAAAAATTCCCAGGCCAAAGGGGGACACCTGGCACAGTGAGAAACTGTGGGGGTGAGCTGCCACCCGAGGGCCAGGGTGAGCTGCAACCCAGCTCTGAGGTATCAAAGGAGTTCCAAGTACAGGTTGAAGAGTTTAAAAACAAGGCACCCCCTAACTCTTCACACGTATCCGGTAGCCGGCTAGGATGCAGCCGTCTGTGGGGAGTGGCTCTGCATAGTTTGCAGTGGTGAAACAATCACAGTCGACTAAGTGCAAGTGGCTTCCATATGAAGTGAGTCACTACCACTCAAACACTGAACAGAGTGTCAACGTGATGGAAATGGCTTTGGTCCTTCTGCATCTCCTGCCAGTGGTATTCAAGGTGTGCACAGCTATGTCCTGGACAAGCATTTTGAATATTTGTGGCTCTCCCTGGGCCCAATTTCAGGATGATTGAGGCATTAAATCATTTAAAATCTGTATTAAGAACATTGCTTCTATTTTGTAAACAGTTGCTGTTCTGACCTCAATTCAAGTGGATGCCAAGCTACCTAGGAAAATGAATTAGTCTAGAGATGTCTTAAGTACTAAAGTAGAAAAGAATGAGAAAGTCAGTACACGATCAGGGCTACTTGACGGTTTTCTTTTTTCCTTTTTAAGAAATTTAACTGGTTTTATACTTTTGCTACTGAGACCCAAATAAAGGCCTAGTTCAAGATGTCCAATCTTTCTTTTTCCTGTCACACACTGGAAGAAGAGTTTTCTTGGGCCATGTTAAATCACACACTAACAAAAACTGATCAGCAAAAGGAAAAAAAAAAGGTCCCTGAATGCTTTTTGTCATATGTGATATCACAGATAAGCAAAAAAAGTCCCCACAAAACAGGTAGACAGTTGTACATTCCAAGAAGCAGCGATCACCCTAAAACTGCATGTTTATTTGGCATAATGCTAATGCCAGCCAATAAAAAACTCCACATAATTGCTAAACCATGCCTTTGATTCAAGTTTACATAATGAACTTTCATTTTTAATTTAAAAATATTAGAATTACACGGACCTTTGGCCATCGATCCGCTCCTTTCATTTTGTGCCTGAAGAAACTAAGACCCCGAAGTGTCTCTGATTCCCAGTCCGATGCTCTTCACAATGCAAGTTTTTTGGCTCTCACCCTCTGAGATTTAGCAGTGACTCATTATGTAGGTCTGGTCAGATCTGGTTAGTTTGGTCTTAAGGCACTCACATAATGCCCTGATTTTTCTTGTATTTGTGTGAGAAGACAAAGAAGAGTCTATTACTTTTTCATATCTTGAAAACCAAAAAATACTCAGAATTTAAGGTCATGGAAGAAGGAAGAAAACCAGACTCTTTTCTAAGTACAGAATGCTTTAGAAAAAAAGATGACAGCATGATTTAATTACTGATCCTGTTTTCCCCACACCCCAACTTGCAGCAGTCTGAGGAGGGATCTGTGGCTGGGGGAGGACCAGAGGCTCCAGACATAGGCCATCCTGTCCCTGAGGCAGAGAAGCTGCTACTTTGTCCCTCTTGGAATGCAAATGATGGTGATTTATTTCCAATTTCATGGAGTTCACTGACATCTCCTAATGAACAATTTTCAAAGTATGATGCAAAGTTTTGAATAGACACACAGTTCAAAAAGCTGTCAGTTCATATGGCACATCTTGGTCTTGAATTTGGTGCCATGCCAGAAGCTCCCCTGGGCACTTGCAAAGGCAGCAGGCAGTAATGGGGTCTGGGCCAGGGGTGAGCACAGAAGAGCCTTCTCCTGAGGCTCGTCTGAAGACAGCGCTGAGGAAGTGATTCTACCTCGTGTGTCGCTCCCGTTTCAGGTCAGCAGCCATTTTCCACACGGAGACGCAATTAGAGAGGGGTATCTCTTCCGGGAACTCGGCTTCCGTTTCAGGAACAATTTCGCTCTCTTTAGTTTCCATGTAACCTACCAGAGTTTCTCTCAGGCTGAAAAACCAAGGAATAACAGACAGCATTTAAAACAAGCCTCCCAAATAACATAAGGGGATCAATCCGTTGTCACTTTTCTAGTCCTCAGTAGAATCAGAGTGCTTCTTCAGACCAGAAATAACTAAAGGTCAGTTTAAGGTCCGTCAACCCCTGAGTTACTAAGCTGGGACTAGAATCTTGGGTGTAAGACTTGTGCACATAACTGCCACTTCCCACACAAAGTGTGCAAACACCAGAGGTGCCTTGGAGACGGCCTGTCACATGATTACGGTCACTTTAGGAAGCTTATTTACAGGGCTTGCCATTCAAAAACTTGTATTCCATTTCATGTTTTATATTAATAAAGATCATAAATTCTCTAGGAGAGGTATTTTTTCTTCTACACTAAAAGTCCAGAATAGTAAACGAACTTACAGAGTAAGTTCAAAGAATATAAACATATATAGGTATATGCCATATAGCATAATGGAGGAAAATAGCAAATATGAAATATATTAGTGAGGAAAACTACAGTTTGATTATCCAGTAGTGTTAAATCCTTACTTTACACCACACATAAAATTGGTTAACAACCTAAGTGTGTAATATAGAACTATAAAAAGCATAAGAAGAAAAAGGGTATTTTATAACCTTGGGATAAGGAAACCCTTATAGGTGTATTTTCCAGTGGAGACTTTACAGGAGAATTCTATTGGATGATTTCATAAAATTAAAGAATGAGGGCTCAGCGCCTGTAGCTCAGATGGCTAGGGTGCCAGCCACATATACCAGAGCTGGTGGGTTTGAGCCCAGCCTGGGCCTGCCAAACAACAATGACAACTACAACCAAAAACAGACGGGCGTTGTGGTGGGTGCTATAGTCCCAGCTACTTGAGTGGCTGAGGCAAGAGAATCGCTTAAGCCCAAGAGTTTGGGGTTGCTGTGAGCTGTGACACCACTTTACCGAGGGTAACAAAGTGAGACTATGTCTGAAGAAAAAAAAAGAAGCATCTCTCTTTGACATAATTCTACCCATTAAAATGAGAGTATATGACTACTACTGTTATTTTTTAAAACCCAGTAGAAATTAAAACAACGCAAATCCTGGGATGCTCTGGTAGTAACAGCAGGAAGGGGGACCCTGAGGCAAAGTCAGACCTATCCTGTGTCTGTGGAAGACCCAGAGACCAGCAGAGCACGCCCTCTGCCCTGCCCTGCCCTGCCCTGCCCTGCCCTGCCCTGCAGGTGTCAAGTCCATACCTCCACTCAGGGTTGAAACTCCCCTCGGTTTGGGGGTTCTTCAGTTTCAAGACCATCATTTCGTGGAGTTCTAACAGAAAGGCATCTAGGCCAATCTGATTCAGGAAAGTGCTGAGCAGCTTAGCATTTTCTGGGCTGAGATCCATTTTGTACCTTGAACTGATTTCCCTAAATGGCTCCTGAAATGAAGGACAAGGGACAACATCAAAGCCTGCCAAGGGGGCAGGGGGACATGGCTCCCTCCGTCCAGGGAGGAGGAAGAGGCCGAGGCCAGGGCAGACTTACTTTTCTCAGTCGCAGCAGCTGTTCCGACTTGTGAGCAGAGAGGAGCTGCCAGAGGGCAATGGTATGTTTTAACTGACACCTATTTAAGGCCTAAAAGAGAAGCAGAATCCCTAAGCAGGAATGGCCTCTGACGCCTGCCATGTGTCAGCAAACCCGGTGCTCCGCGCAGGCATTTCTCTCTTCATTTCTGCTCTGTACTGGTCTGATCTCCCTTCCACCCACTAGTACACCTGCCTCATGGTGAAATGTCTCTGAAGGGCCTCTCCCTCCTGCAGCATCTCAAGAGTGCATCAGCGAGCACTTGGCCGCTGCCTGGTGGCCTCGGTCATGTTTGTGCTGCGCATGTCTGCGTCTACCATGCCTGCTGTGTTCTGTTTAAATGTGGGCTGACTGGATAAGGGCTTGGTTTTGCTCCCATGCCTCCCCTTCCTTTTTGAGGGTGCCTACAATGAATGGTGGTATTCTTGGCAGGAAGCAGGGAGACTAAGGTGAGGGGCAATGCTGAGTTCCCTGGAAAAAAGCCTTTGTGTGAGACGCACCTTTAACACAAGAGCCGTCTGATCACCCATTCGCAAGATGTCTTGGACGTACACATTCAAGCGCATGTCGGCATCCCCGCCACCTGTGCTCAGAAATCCCAGAGTGACTTCTACGATAGACAGAGCTTCGCAGGTGTCACTGTAGGACTGCAGCTGTCCACCGATGGTACTGATGGCGGATTTGGTGAGGGAGCTCTGCAAAGTCAGAAGCAGAAGAGTGGGTTTGCAGGCTGGGCTTCCTCTTTCTCACAACCTGATACCTACATGAGCTTGGCTACCTCACTGCCAAGCCCAAGGTGGGACAAACTCTTTAACAGTCACAGTTGGGACTTGGTGTTCTGTAAGTACCAGGTAGCATCCAGACATCTTATAGAAATGGATACAACCTTGGTGAGAAACCACCCTGTAAGGCTATGGAGACACACGGAGGTGTGCCTCTCCTGTCACGACTAGAGAGTAGGAATCAATGAGTTCTATGGGTCATTACTAACACGCTCACCCCATAAGACATCAGTCTGTTTATACTCAACAAGAACGCTCCCTGACTTGCTTGCCCCCTACAGAGAGCACTGGGCTCTCCATGCTGCTCATGGAGAACACCAGGGGTGCGGCTGGAGCAGTCCTAATGTGGACGGAAACCCTCTGATAAGGCAAAACACACCACACACACAAATGACAGCATTAACTGTGACCACCTGTGCCATTTTGTTCTTGATGTCCACAAAGAGATGTTCGTAGTTCCAGTCGTGTCTGTATACCAGAGTGGGTATTCCCTAAATCGAGAAAGAAAAATTAAATCCATTGTGGAGGTTTCGCACAGATAAGAAATACATTTTTTAGCAGTAACTCAACTGTAGCACCGGACAGTTCAGTGTGTCACTGGGCAGGCCATGCCTCTGGTTGTTCATGATGTCTGTGTTTAACCCGTAGTGTATGGAAACAATTACACCAGGAGAAATCTAGCCAGGCCATGACTGCCAAGCAGACGTTGTCATGGAGACTAATGCAGCCATGTTTGCCACAAGAGGTGCTGGGGGACACAGTGACGTGAAGGTATCTCATTCATGTATTCCTTCTATACCTGCTGGCCACAGACCGTGGACTAGGCAGGAGCTCTGCTAGACAGCAGGGACATCAGAATGATTAAAGACAGCCTTGGTTTCAAACAAGGCTCACCCAGTTGCACTGAGGGGGATAAATGCACCTAAGTACAATGTGTCTGACTGGAGCTGAAGAGAACCAGCCCCATCCAGGTGAAGGAATAGAGATGGGAAGGTGCCCACTTTGTTAATGCAGCACGTGGGGTCCCAGGACACGGCTGGGAGGCTGAGATGGGGTGAAGCTCCAGGGCCTTCCACTCCAGAGCCTTAGCTTTGTGCAGGGGGCACAGGCGAGGCTGATCCCTAGAGAGTGAGGGTCTAGGTGTGGGCTTTAGGAGCATGCACTGAAGAGCCTTCAGGCAGGGTCCAGTCAGGAGCAGTCTGACTTTGGGATGGACGCCTGAGCCAGAGCGGGCTGTGGGAGCCAGGAGGACACACAGAAGGGAAGCCTGATGGCATCC